GTCCTCCCGGGGCGAGTCCAGTTGCCTTCAGTGAGGACACATCTGCATTAGGGGTCACTGGGGACCGGACCCCGGGTGGGGCTGTTCCCCACACAGTCCGCGTAGCTGCCTGTGGTGCCAGGAAAGGCCCTCACAGCCTGAGGCTGGGCCTGAGGCCGGTGTCCTGTGTTTTGTAAACTTCCCTCTTCACTGTCTCAGGATGGCCCGCACCCTCCGCCATTTCTACGTGGTTATCTGTCCACTTTGTCCTCTGCCCATTGCTGCAGTAATAGTGGATGTTTCACAGCTATTTCTCTTTCCTTCCTACCATCAAGTCTTTACTTAAAAAATGTTTTTACTGATTTCAGAGAGAAAGGGAGAAAGAGAGAAACACCAACAATGGGAGAGAACTCAAAGGTTATGTTCATCCATAAAATGGAACAGAAACAAAATAAAAACAAATTAAATATGGGAAATGTTAGAACATATGCAATAAAAAATGGATATAAAGCTGCATATCCACGTTGATGAGACAGAAACATGCAAGGACTACGTGAAGGGACACATTAATATTTAAGGGCCATCGTTTCTGGGTGGGGGATTATAGGGTCATTTTCATTTGCTTTTGCTTCTCTGTGTCTGTGAAGCTTTCTCTACCAAGCACATACTACTTTTATGCTTAAAAAATTGAAATTAATGAATAACAAATTGATCAAATTTATCATCAGATGTCATCATGATTAAATATGACACAGATCTTGTCAAAGTTAAAATTACGCTCTATCACTTTTCATTTTTTACATAACATTTTTTTGAATTGAAAAGAAAATATTTTATTTCTTGTAGAGTGAGGATGCTTTTATTGTCACCCTCCAGTCCTGTACCATCCGGGTAGTACTTATGGGATACCTGTGTGCCCAGCATTGTCCCAGGCACTGGGGACACAGCAGGGGACGAAAGGGCATGGGCTCTCCCCTTTGAAACCCATTGAGGAGCGGGACCCATTAAACAGATCACCACAAAATGGTGACACTTGCCAGAAAGAAGGAGCAGCATGCAAATATTGTTGATTATAGGAGAAAGGCTGTGTCAGTTTCTGATTTTCTCCAAGTAGGATGTCAGAGCATCAGCCCGGGTCATCTGTGAACCAGGAGGGCAAACGCAGGACCACCGTCCGGGTGGACAGAGAGTAGGAGAGAACCTGTGCACCAGGCAGGGAGCCCAGAGGCCCTCGGGCTGGGCTGGCGCACGGGGACAAGAGCCAAGTGGGTTCTGGATGCTTCATCACTCATCCAGCCTTTTACAGGCTGAGCTTTGGTTTCGGGGCAGTGTCCCTGACCAGGATCTCACCATCTAGCAAGGGGAACAGCCCTGGCTGGTTTGTCTCAGTGGCTAGAGCGTCGGCCTGTGGACTGAAGGGTCCTGGGTTCGATTCTGGCCAAGGGCACATACCTGGGTTTCGGGCTTGATCCCCAGTAGAGGGTGTGCAGGAGGCAGCCAATCAATGATTCTCTCTCAACGTTGATATTTCTAACTTAAGGTCCCTGTCCCTTCCTCTCTGAAATTAATTTTAAAAAATATATACATATATAAATAGAAAGGGGAACAGAAAGAACAAATAGTGAGAAAAGTGAGTGCTGACCCTTGTGGGAGTCCAGAGAAGTAAGTTCTAAGCTTTATGGGATGGTTGTTTACATGAGTGTTCTTTGAACAGGGTCTCTAGGGATAAGAATAAGATTTTCAAAGTAGCCCTGACCGGTTTGGCTCAGTGGATAGAGCGTTGGCCTGCGGACTGAAGGGTCCCAGGTTCGATTCCGGTCAAGGGCATGTACCTTGGTTGCGGGCACATCCCCAGTGGGGGTGTGCAGGAGGCAGCTGATCGATGTTTCTCTCTCATCGATGTTTCTAACTCTCTGTCCCTCTCCCTTCCTCTCTGTAAAAAAATCAATAAAATATATTAAAAAAAAGATTTTCAAAGTAGAGAGTAGGGAGGGGAAAGGCAGTTTATAATGAAAGGGAATAATGGTGCAGAATGTTCAACAAGGGAAATTCTGAGAACTACAGGTAGTGAATGACTGAAACAAGACTAAAGGTGGGGAGGTCATGTATTTAATAAATACTGGAGAGCCCTGGCCAGTTTGGCTTAGAGGATAGAGTGTTTGGTCCGTGGACTGGAAGGTCCCAGGTTCAAGTCCGGTCAAGGGCAAGTACCTCCGTTGCGGGCTCCATACCGGCCCTGGTCAGGGCTCATGGGGGAGGCAGCCAATCAATGTGTCTTTCTCACATTGATGTTTCTCTCTCTTTGTCTTTCCTCCTCCCTTCCGCTCTCTCCAAAAAATCAGTGGAAAAATATTCTCCAGTGAGGATTGACAAAATAATAATAATAATAATAATAATAATAATAATAATAATAAAAATAAAAATAAAATAAATAAACACCGGAGAATTTACGCTGCCTAAAAGTGTACTAGTGGCTATGAATAGACATGAAGAAGACCTACTGCTGTATTCAAGGACTTCTCAGTCCATGATAGAGACAGATAAGAAAACTGGCAGTTTCAATCTAGGGTAGTAAGTGTAGGAACAGGGATGAAGAAGGTTCTGGACATCTTCCCAGGATAAGGGTAGAGGAAAGGCAGAGCCATAAGGAAGCTGACTTACACAGACAGAAGTCCCCACTCCTGACCCCCGATTGGTCTGTCCTCACGATTGATTCAAAGGGCACTGTCCCGATTGGTCAGAATACAGCCATGTGATTGGTTGGAGCTGCGAAGTTTCCATTGGTTGGAGGAGGCCTCAGTCCTATTGGGAGAAGTAGAAGTCTAGGAACTCCTTTAAAAGAGCTGGCTCAGATGGCAGGAACAGCATTTGGTCTAGCCTTATCCCCTGCAGTTTGCATGAGAGGCCCCTGTGCAGAAATGGCTGCTAGGTGTTTTTTATTTTTTATATATTCTACTGATTTTCCACAGAGAGGAAGGGAGAGGGATAGAGAGTTAGAAACATCGATGAGAGAGAAACATCGACCAGCTGCCTCCTGCACACCCCCCACTGGGGATGTGCCGGCAACCAAGGTACATGCCCTTGACCGGAATCGAACCTGGGACCCTTCAGTCCGCAGGCCGACGCTCTATCCACTGAGCAAACCAGCCAGGGCTAGATTCTACTTTTTAAAATTTGAGCCCAGTTAGCTATCAGAAGTCCTTCTTACTAGCTGTCTTCTTCTTTTTTAAAAAATATATTTTTATTGATTTCAGAGGGGAAGGGAGAGGGAGAGAAAGAAACATCAATGATGAAAGAGAATCATTGATTGGCTGCCTCTGCATGCCTCGTACTGGGAATCAAACCAACTACCCGGGCATTTGCCCTTGACTGGAATCAAACCCAGGACCCTTCACTCCGTGGGCCGACGCTCTATCCACAGAGCCAACCAGCCAGGGCACTAGCTGTCTTCTTTAGGGTTCACACAGTTAGTGTTATTTTAAATGTTTTTCTGATTTCTAGTGAGAGAGAACATTTTTTCATATAATTATTGACATACATGACTAGCTTGTTCATATTCGCTTACTTTTTATGAGATAGTTATCTTTTCCTTAATGATTTGTAAGAGCTCTTGATATATATGGTATGCAAATCAAACACTGGATACAAGAAATAGTTAACGAGTATATATATGTTAACGTAAAAACATTCAAACCTGTACCGCTGCTGTAAAAGAGAAGGAATTCTTGCCATTTGCAACAGGATGGATGGAGCTAGAGAGCATTATGCTAATCAAAATAAGCCAGTCAGAGAAAGGTAAATATCCCATGATCTCACTCATTTGTGGAATATAATGAACAACATAAACTGATGAGCAAAACCAATGGACACAGACAGTAGGGGGGTGAGGGCTTGTGCTTGGGGGCGGGGGAGAGGTTATGGGGGAAAAAAGGAGACTCACGTACTACTATAAACCAGCGGTTCCCAACCTGTGGGTTGTCAAAGGTTGTTTCAAAACGACCCTCTCACGGGTCGCCTAAGACCATCGGAAGACACATATATAATTACATATTGTTTTTGTGATTAATCACGATGCTTTAATGATGTTCAATTTATAACAATGAAAATACATCCTGCATATCAGATATTTACATGACGATTCATAACAGTAGCAAAATTACAGTGATGAAGTAGCAACGAAAGTAATTATATGGTGGGGGGTCACCACAACATGAGGAACTGTATTGAAGGGTCGTGGCATTGGGAAGGTTGAGAACCACCGATTTTCAGCGTCTAAACTCTAAAGGCTTTTCCACGAGGCCAAGTGACCACCAGACCGGGACATTCATTTAAAGCCGCGTGGGCGGCGCGGGACGGACGCTGCAGGCTCAGCCCGGCACCATGGCCATCGCCCCGGGGCCCTGCCGACACTCGGAGAGTCTGCGCCCGGCTCCCAGGAGCGTCTGGCGGCGGCAGCACCGGCTCCCGCGGGCCAAGGGCGTGTGCACCAGCGCCGGACCACCGGGCCAGCACCGCCCGCGCTTCCCCGCGTGGAACCGCGCATCGCGAGCACGTGATCCGCGTCCGCCCGGCCCAGCGCGAGGCGCGCGCGGCTTCCCCGGCTTTGGGCTGCGCGGCCGCCTCCCGGCGCGGCGTTCCGACCTGGTCTACGGGTCCCCCGCCGTGTAGGCCCTGGGCGGCCCCAGGCGGGGCGAGGGCCCGCGGAGAGGCTCCGGGGGGCGGGGGGAGGCGGGGAATCCCCCTTCCACCGAACCTTCCCGATTGTTCCCGGCGCGCACGTCAGCAGCAGGGGGTAATCCCCGCTCCAGCTGCTGCTGACGTCACCGCGCGGGCCCCGCCCCCGCCCTCGGGGCCTCCTCGCGGCCCCGCCCCGGCGTAGCCCCGCCCCCTGACGTAGCCGCGCCCCGCCCCGCCCCTTCCCGGCCGCCGGCGTAGAGGGCGGGGCGTCTCCGCGGCGCGTGTGCGGCTGCGCGGGCCGGAAGGTTCTGAGGTGGAGGCGCTCCCCGTGCGGCCCCGCCCAGTCGGCTCCTGCGCTCGCGGCGGCGTCTCCACACCCGGCCTCGCTCCTGCTGGTCCGCGCCCCGCCTCCCCTCCCTTCCCCTCGGCCCTCCAGTTCCGTCCCTGCCTCGCCGCCGTCCCTCATCTCGCGAGACTTGTCCCAGAATATTGCGGACCGGGTCGGCGCCATTTTGGGACGGAGACTGGTTGTGGGGGAGGGAAAAGCGGCAAAAGGGGATTATTCAAAGTACCGAGAGCCTCGTCCCGGACCCAGCGCCCGCACCCCAGCCCGGGCACCTGCGGGGGCCGAAGGTAACGGGGGTCGGGGCCGCGCCGGCGTCGGCGGGTGGCGTGTGGGCGTCGGGCCGGGGTCGGGGCGGCGTTGGCGACGCGCGGTGCGAGGTGCCCGCGGACGGGGTGCGGGAGCGGGGCGTCGGGAGTGGGCCGGCGCGGGGCCGTGAGCGGCTGCGTGGGGCGGGCGGCGGGACGGCCGGGCCGAGCCGGGCGCTGGGCGGGTCGGGGCCTCGGCCGCGGTTTCGGCCGCTCCCGGCTCCCGCCCGGGTCCGAGCGGCCCTGCGTGGCGGGCGCGCCGGAAGGAGCGGTTTCCTGCGTCCAGGGAGCCGGAGCGCATCTGCCCGCGGAGGCCGGCTGGGGGGGCGGGGGGCGTCGCCCCTGGGCCCCTCTCGGCCCTCGGCCTCCGACCCCGCGGCTGCGCGGGGCGGGCTGCCGAGCGGCAGGGACGGCGGTGGCCGCGCACCTGTCCTCCCGGTGCCCGGGGCGGGCCCCGCGGACCGGTCCTCCTTGCGGGGTGCCGCTCTCCGGGGGGGACGGGTGCCGCGGAGTGTGGGCTCCTTACATAACCGCGGTACCGCGCCCCTTCCCGGGGCACCGACGCCCCTCCCCGCCCCCCGCCCCCACTGGGGAGCCCTCTGCCCCCCTGGCCGCTCAGCCCCTCGCCCCGGGGCCGCCCCGCTCCCGGGCCCCGCTCTCGGGGCGAATTCCTGGCTCCGCTGCACACCTCCGGCTAATGCAAGTTTGTTTGTTTTTTTGCACAACTTTTCCAGGTGATCGCCGTCGCTCAGGTGTGAAGATCCTCTCCTAGGCTGCGGGCCGGGACTTCCAGTGGCCATTTTGGAATTACAGTGCTTTCGGTCATTCCGCCCCAGAAGTTGGCTGAATGGGCGAGGATCGTCTCTGAAGCGAACGGCTCCGCGCGCTGCCGAGACGGGCGCCCGGCGGTCCTGACGGCGCGGCTCCCGCGGATTACATAACCGGTTCCGGGCTTCGGCTGCCGGCGTGTTTTCCGGTGTGTGTGTTTGTGTGTTTTGTGGCCTTCCCCACCCCGTGGTGGTGTCAGCCGAAACTGTAAGCGATGCCTGGTTCGTGCCTCGGGTAGTTTCGGAAGTTTCCGATTCCTGTTGAAATCGTGCCGAAGGTCCCTGCAGCTTATCCTCCTCAAAACTTGTGGGAATTTCTGACCTCAGCCCCGCGCGTGTCACAATGGGGCGGCTTCTCTAAATGAAGACACTGAAGGAGACCCGCTTTTTTCCTTTTCTCTTTTATTTACGTGGAAACCTAAGATGGTGCCGCTTCCCAGCAGCGTGGTCGTGCTGAGATAGCCGTGTCTCCGAGTGCTGCTCAGGAATGCGCTTCAGATGTGAAGCTTTCTTTTTGTTTTTGCTTTTTGGGTCATAAATTGGATATTTCATCTCGAGTGGATAAGTACAACACTGACAAGTACATGGAATAATAAAGAAGACTTGATCACCTTAAACCCCAGGAACTTGGCTAATCTGGAGGTAGCCATATGAAAACTTTAAACCTGAAGTATGGGTAGCTGACTTGAAGTAACTCTATGTCAAATAGTCATAGGTTAAGTATCTTTAAAGAACTTGGATTTTATTTCAGGGGATACAAAATAAAAAAACAAACTGGAAAACACAAAGATCACAGAGAAAAGCCCAACACCTTCTTGTGCGGTCCTGTTGGAATTTGTAAGTACTGTCTATATATGGTGAGCATGTCAAATGGACTTTTGTAAAATGCAATAAGGGTCAAGGTAGCCTTTGTTATTCTTGGAACCTTTCAGTGTCTCCCAATAATATTGCTCTGGACAATCTGAAAACAACTATTAATTTTAAATGAGGAAGGAGTTAAGGTTTAAGACTATTTCAGATCAAACAGTCCAAATTTTAATTTTTTGTGCTCCTAAAGTAAGAAGGTACATATGGCTGTTATTCACCTTAGGCTTTGTGGATTCCTAGATTGGTAGAAAAAACCCAAAAAGTTATTCATGTTTAAAATCTTATAGGGCCTGGTTTTTAATATGCTATTTCAGAAGTAGCTTGTTTTAAGGCATAAGTTTTAACATTTGAACCTATCATAGAAATTGTTTTTTATTTTTTTTAAAATGTGTTTTATTGTTTTTTTATAGAGAGGAAGGGAAAAGGGTAGAGAGTTAGAAACATCAATGAGAGAGAAACATCGATCAGCTGCCTCCTGGCACACCCACCACTGGGGATGTGCCCGCAACCAAAGTACATGCCCTTGACCAGAATCGAACCTGGGACCCTTCAGTCCGCAGGCCGACGCTCTATCCACTGAGCCAAACCGGTCAGGGCAGAAATTAAGTTTTTTAAACCTGTTGAAGTGGTTTTATTTCAAATTATTCCTTAAGATCTCAGCTCCGCCCTAGCTGGTTTGGCTCAGTGGACAGAGCAGTCGGCCTGTGGACTGAAGGGTCCAGGGTTCGATTCTGGTCAAGGGCATATGCCCGGGTTGCAGGCTCCATTCCTAGTAGGGGACGTGCTTATCAATGATTCTCATTGTTGATGTTTCTATCTCTCTCTCCCTCCTTCTCTGAAATCAATAAAATGTATTTTAAAAGGTGAATATTAATTGCCATAATAGAATTTTTTTGGTGAGTGAATTACCTTTTATTTAAAAAAATTGATTTTTAGAGAGAGAGGAAGGGGAGGGAGAGAGATAGAGATAAACATTGAATTTGTTGTTTTACTTATGCATTCATTGCTTGGTTCTTGTATGTGGTCCGGTCCTGTTTGAACATGAAACCTTGGTGTATCAGAATGGAGCTCTTTCCAACTGAGCTACCCAGCTAGGGCATGAATTATTTTTTAATATTTATCTTACGGGATTGAATGGTGTTTTTTTTGTTTGTTTGGTTTTAATTCAATATATTTTTACTGATTTCAGAGAGGGAGAGGGAGAGAGATAGAAACATCAATGAGACTCATTGATTAGCTGCCTCCTGCACGCCCCCTTGTGCACTGACCAGGAATGGAACTGTGACCTCCTGGTTCACAGGTCCACCTCAGCTGGGCCTTACTTGATTGTTTTGATAAATATTTTCTGGGCATTGAAATCTATAGTATTGGTAGCTATTGGAACAGTGACTGGGCTGCTGCTTATCCCCCCATAAGTACCTCTTTTTCTCCTATCCCATTTTTTCCTTTTTTTTCTCTAGTGCCTAAACTATAGGTCTAAAAATAACAATCACAATGGCTAACATTTGTAGATGGAGATTGTGTCATGTGTTTGCCTTGTACTTTACAAGGTATGTCTTAATTAGCATAATCCTATGAGAAAAGTACTATTACAGTGGCAGAGGTGAGAAAACTAAGATTTAGGGAGACTGAGACGGGCAAAGTTACCTTGGTTAGGGCCAAGGATAGATTGGCATCTTGACCAACTCTCCAAGCCCCATGCTAGTACTAGTAATCATTATTGTACCATACTTAACACTGCTTTGTGGATTTTACTTTATTAACTCAATTTTATTTGGGCATTATCCTGATATTTTTGTTTTTCTTTTCATATGCTGCTTCTTTGTAGTTAGTTTTGATTGCTATTTGGAGGAAGCTAAAAGATAGAAGAGAAACTTTTGTTGGTTTTGCTGTTGTTAGTAGCTATGAGTGATAACTTGGGTTAGCAAAGTATTAAAATGTGGGGTCAGGTTATATTGAGATCTCATGCACCCTTGCCTCTTTGCCCAGGTTTGGAGCTAAATGCATGTTAACTGTTTTACTTTTTCTCTGGCTTTGAATTGAGATTACTACATGGATTTTGTGTTTATAGCTGTTGACACTTTAGAATTGAGAAAGGGAGGACTAGTAGGAAAATAAGACTAATGGGAAACAATAAGGAAAGAACAGGAGTGAACAGAAAGAAGAAAATAAGATTTAGGGAGTTATAGATAGGAGAAGGGAATAAGGATGGAAATCTCTAGTCTGAAAGTAACATTAGCAAGTGAGCAGAGAACCTAAACCCAGGCCAAATTATCTAATTGTATTTGACGCAACCACCTTTTCTGTTTAATTTTTGATGAGAATGTTTAGGTGACAGTTTAGATCCAGGTAAGGGCAGTGATGCAGAAAGTGAGGAATGTCTGGGAGTTAGGAAAGGTTTTTGGTTTAGGATTTGGAATATCTAGAAAAGGGCGCATGTGACCTTGTATATTCACGTAACCTCTTTTGGCCTTAGTTCTTAATAAAACAGATGGAAATAATGCATTTGAAGGTTTTTTTGTTAATCATGGACTGTAATATAGATGTAAAGTCTTCTATATTTTAATATTCTGCTTAATACATTTTACATATCAAATCAGTATTTATAGTCTCTGAAATGACTTTTTCTCTTGTTGCGTTTATTTATTTTATTTAAATATACTTTTATTGATTTTTTTACAGAGAGGAAGGGAGAGAGGGGTGGAGAGTTAGAAACATCAATGAGAGAGAAACATCGATCAGCTGCCTCCTGCACACCCCCTACTGGGGATGTGCCCGCAACCAAGGTACATGCCCTTGACCGGAATCGAACCTGGGACCCTTCAGTCTGCAGGCCAACGCTCTAACCACTGAGACAAACCGGTTAGGGCGCATTTATTTTTTTAAAAAAATATTTATTTCAGACAGGAAGGGAGAGGGAGAGAAATAGAAACATGAATGATGAGAATCACTGATCAGCTGCCTCCGGCATGCCCCCTACGGGGTATCGAACCTACAACCCAGGCATGTGCCCTTGACTGGAATCGAAAGCGGGACCTTTTGGTGCGCAGGCCAACGCTCTATCCACTGAGACAAAACCGCTAGGGCTCTTGTTGCTTTTAATTGCATGACCTGCAATACTTATTCAGGCCCTGCCTCCTCATTTCCAGTTTCATTTATTATTCTAGCTTGGTCCTTGGCCAAGGAAATCACCTGTTAACTCACCTTTTTGCCTTTAGTTCCATTCCCTTTTCCCCATCCTCTCTCCTGTGGCCAGAGAATCTGAAGTATAGCCTTTTGTTTTGTCACTTTAGCAGCCCTTAGGTTGTGTAGGGGAAAGTAGGTTGGAAAGAGATTCGGTCCCTGCCTCTCCTTCTCTCCTTCCCTCCCAGTGTTTTGTGTGTCAGGAATTTCCAACATGAATTCTTTTTGGCTGCATGGGTGGGTGTGGGAGACAGTATAGCTAGAGAATTCTCTGAAATGGGTAATTTTAGGGGTGCTTAATGTATTTTCCTGGGGATCAGGTTCATAATTTTCAATAGAACCCTCACGAGAAACCAAAGTTAGAATTACTGATCAACCTTTAATGGTTGGGTCTCTCTCTCTTTTTTTAAACTTTTATCTGCTTTTTTCCTTTTTGTCAGTCGCCCCACCCATTAGTTACAGGCTTTTGCTCTGTATCCCTTCGAGTAATTGCTAGTTTCTGCATCTTTTTAGCAAGAAAAAGAGTTTTAACCTCCTAGTTAAATAGGTTATTTCCTTTGAAAGACAGAACTTGCAAATAGATTTTTAAAAATTCTAAAAATGAAAAATCGTCAGGAAGTTACCTTTACACATGCGTACTAGCTAAAGAAATTAGTTTGCTTTTCAGTGGACATAAATATATATCCTTTTAATGAGTGAGTTTTTAGAAATTTGGGGGCAGTTTAGCTGAGTGGTTCGGGTTCCATCCGGGTCTTTCATAAAGTCTTATGAATTGACCAGGGCTGCAGCCAATGAAAGGCTTGACGGGCTGGAAGACCTCCTTCCAAGTGGTGTTCTCATTGGCTGGCAGGTTGATGCTGGCTGTTGTCTGAAGGACTCAGTTCTTTACCCTTGTGTATATCCCCATCCAGCTGCTTGAGTTTTTTTCTTTCTTTAAAAATATATTTTTATTGATTTCAGAGAGGAAGGGAGAGGGGGAGAGAGAGAGATAGGAACATCAATGATGAGAGAGAATCATGGATGGGCTGCCTCCTGCACGCCTCACACTGGGGATCCAGCCCTCAACCGGGCATGTGCTCTGACCTGGATTTGAACCGTGGCCTCCTGGTTCATAGGTCGATGCTCAACCACTGAGCCATGCGGGCCTGGCCAGCTGCTTGAGTTTCTTTGCAGCATGGCAGCTGTGTCTCCCAGAGCAAGTGACTTGAGAAAAGGGATAGGTGAGGTGTGCCTTTTATGACCTACCTATTCTTAGAAGTCACATTCTTTTCATTAGAAACAAATCATTAAATCTAGGCTGCAGACACCATCTTCTATCAGAATTATTTGTGACATATTAAAAATCACAGTAGGAAGTAATCCTTCACGCCTCATAATTGTCAATATAACTAGCCAAAATTTTCACCCCACAAATAGGAAGTTGAACTATTATAAGTTTAGAGAAAAAAGTGTGTTCTAAATTTAAATGAATTTAGAAGGTATAATCCTTCTACCTTTCTAACCAGTGTATGAGATGGAATTTCCCACCCCTTCACACTAATCTCCCAAACAGTGTATGAGGGTCATAAACTTAAAGTTGGCCATTTTAGGTACTTTTGAGCATGCAGTTCAGTGTCATCTAGCACATTACAATGTTGTACAGCTATTACCACCACCCATCTCCAGAACTGCACCCAATTAAGCATTAACTCCCAATTTTTTCTCTCTCCCCAGCCCCTAGCAATTACTTTGTATTTCTATGAATTTGATTACTAGGTACCTCATTGTGCACTATTTGTTCTTTAGTGACTGGCTTGTTTCACTCAGA